CTATAAATATTTTTGTACATATAGACTCTTTTCCTTTTTTTTTTTTAATCTGTTTGAGTTACTGACCTAGTTGTGGTATTGCTTGGTCAAATGGTATGCATGGTTTTATAGCCCTTTGGGCATAGTTCTAAATTGCTCTCCAGAATGATTGAATAAAACTTCCTCAACAATGCATTAGTGTTTTAATTTTCTCACATCCCCTCAAACACTTGTCATTTTCCTTTCCTGTCATATCAGCCAATCTCATAAGTATGTGGTGGTAGCTCAGAGTTGCTTTAATTTGGATTTCTCTGATCAATAGTGATTTAGAACATTTTTTTCATGACTATAAATAGCTTTGATTACTTTGTCTGAAAGTTTCTCATTCATTACCCTTTAACCACTTACCAACTGAGGAATGACTCTAATTTTTATAAACTTGACTCAGTTCTCTATATATTTGAGAAATGAGGTCTTCATCAGAAAAATTTGCTGTAAATTTTTTTTCCCAGTAACGATTACCACCTATGTATTTCCCTCCATCCTCTTTTCCCGTTTATCCTACTCTCTCTCCTTTCACCTCATCCATTCTCCAAAGTGTTTTGCTTCTGGCTTTTACTTTCTCCACCCTCCCTTCTATCAGCCCCCCACCCTGCCCCACTCTGCCATGGTGCTGTCTCCTCCTACTTTCCTGTAAGGTAAGATGAATTTCTATACCCAACTGAGTGTGCGTGTTATTCCCTCTTTGAGCCAATTCCGATGAAAATAAGGTTCATGCATTCTGCTTCCCCCTCCATCTTCCTCTCCACTGTAAAATCTCTTTCAGGCCTGTTTTATGTCAGATAATTAACCCCATTCTACTTCTCCCTTCCCTTTCTTCTAGTGCATTCTTCTTTCTCACACCTTAATTTTATTTTTTCAGACAATCATTCCATCGTATTCAACTCACACCTGTTCTTTCTATCTATGCATACTCCTTTTAACTGCCCTAATAATGAGAAAGTACATACCTAGTCTCATACCTCCCTAGTGAGAGGTGGGAAGCATGCTTCACTGTCACTTTACTGAAGTCATGATCAATCATTTTGTTAATCAGAGTTTTGAAGTCATTCATTGTTGTTTCTCCTTTACATAATTGTGGTTGCTGTCTAAATTGTTTTACTAAGTTTGCATACTTTACTCTGCATCAATTCATACAAGTCTTCCCAAGTTTCTTAGAATTCTTTATATCTGTCATTTCTTATAAAACAATAATATTACATTATGTCCATGTGCTACAATTTGTTCTGTTGTTCCACAATCATTGGATTCCATTTTCCTTCTAGTTCTTTGTTACTACAGAAATTATTATGATAGATATTTTTGTACATGGGAAACTTTTCCATCTGTCTTTGACCTCTTTCTTATAAGGAGATTATGCTTAGGAGTAGCATTCTAGGTCAAAGGGTATGTTCAGTTTAGTGACATTTCTAAGTATAATTCCAAATTGTTTTCTAAAATATTTGAAATAATTCACATCACCAAAATAGTGTATTAGTGTGCCTGTCTCCTGCAGCTTCTCCAACTTTTTTTTTTTTTATCATTTGTCTTTGCCAGTCAGATAGATGTAAGGTAAAACCTTGGAGTTCTATTAATTTATTTTTCTCATTATCAGTGATTTGAAGCATTTTTCATATGGCTTCTGTCTAACAGTATTCTTCAAGGTTGTCTCCTTGGCCCTGTTAGGTTCATTATTGTTATCAATGACTTAGATGAAAACATTGATGGCATAGCTCTCAAGTTTGCAGGTGACACAAAGAAGGATTGCTAACATGGATTATAGAATCAAGATCCAAACATATGTCCACAGGCTGAAATGATGGGAGAGTGCTAAGATGATGACATTTTTCTTCTTACTTAAAAAAATCCATAATTTTATCTGTATAGACACAACTTTTCTGTGCTTTAATATATGACATTCATGAGTTGCTGTGATTAAGAAAATCCATAAGCTGATGATCAGCCTTCTAGTTACAAGCTTCTTTGAACAGTGCAAAGCTGGTTCTTAGAGGACAATTCCATTCACTTCAACAAGCATATATTGAATGCATGCCATGTGTAAGGCACTATACCCAGCACTGTGCATATGATAGAAAAAATGAAATAAAATAGTCTCTCAAGAGGCTTTCACTCTATAGAGGACACAAAGACATAAGTATGTAAATAAATATAAGATAACTTTATTTTGTCAGCTGTGTGAAGGATTTCTTAGAGAGAAGGAACTCTGAGTAGGAGGCTATTGCAATAGTACAGATGACAAGTGATGAGGGCCTGAATTAGGGTGGTGGTCATTGGGAGGGAGGGCAAAGCTATAAATCCGAAAAGATTTTATGAAGAGAGAATTAACAAAACTTGAAACTGACTAGACAGAGGGAATAAATGAGAAGGAAGTGTCAAGGATTACTCTAAAAGATTCAAACTTAGTTGACTGGAAGAATGATGGTGCCTTCAACAAATCAGGAAGTTGATAGAAGGAGCTCAATTAATAGGAAATAAAGTTCTGTTTTGGACATGCTGAGTGGGAAATGCCTTAGAAGCATCCAGCAGGTAGTTGATATAACACTAGAATTTAAGAAAGAGATTTGGCTAAAATGCAGATTTGAGAATCATTTGTGTAGCTATTACAGTTGAATCCATGGGGGAGGATATCACTTAAGAGAGTAGGTATAGAGAAAGCAAGGGGTTCAAGAGACAGCCAGGAGAGATTAGGGGCTAGGAGATGGATGGCAGTCTAGCAAAGGTGACAAAGAGAGAGCGATCAGACAGGCAGGAGGAGACATGCAGTTTGTCACTGGATCCATATCAGAAATCTTTCCAACTTAGTAGTACCTTATGAAACCTGTTCTCTGTTGCCATTGACTTTGGACACCTGGTGTTGTAGACACAATAATGTGTCAGAGTAAGACTTCCATAGAAAATGGAACGAAACAAGTTTTGTGTGTGTAGCAGGTTAGGATAGGGTAAGGAATAGGGCATTACATATACAGTAGGTAAATGCAAAGACCTGCACTTGGGTTAAAAAAATCAGTTGCACAAGGGAGGAAGGTTAGAAAATAATTTAGATAGCAGTTTGTGTGGCAAAGACCTGTAGCTGTTTGTGTATTGCAAATAATGTGAAATGGCAGTCCAAAAAGCTCATGTGATCACAGTAAGGCGGAAAGAGCATTGGACTTGGAGTCGGGAAGACATGGTATTGGGAGCCAGGATACTTGCGGAACTGAGAAGACTTGAGTTAACTCCCCAGGATTCTAAAAAACCAACTGAAACTATTGTGAGCCAAAATGTTACGGAGTAGATCTGGGACAGTTGGAATTAGCTTTGCTTCCAAGTAGATTGATCTTCGACCTGCACGTGGGAACTTTGGGAAGGAGGATGTAAAATAAATTCTAGAAGTCTCACAGGGAGTTCTCGAGACCCCAGAGAACTTGCTTGCTCATTTCTTTTAATCTTCTTGCCTGTGGCTTTTCATCTGCTTTTATCTTACTCTGAACTGCTTTTTAACTCTGTTGCTGTTGCTGCTGCTGCTGCTGTTTAGTTGTTTCAGTCACGTCTGACTCTTCATGACCCCACTGGGGTTTTCTTGGCAGAGATACTGGAGTGGTTTGCCATTTCCTTCTCCATTCTTTTTACAAATGAGAAAACTGAGGCAAACAGGGTTAAGTGACTTGCGAAGGGTCACACAACTAGTAAGTGTCTGAGGCCAGATTTGAGCTCAGGAAGGTGATGCTTCTGGACTCCAGGACTGGTGCTCTATCTACTGCCGCCCTTAGGGACCAGTTTTACCTGGAAGTACTTGAATATACTAAGTAGATACTAAAGAGATTATCTGAACCCTCAGATTCTGAATGATATGATTATGACTACTACTATGATGATTACTATTACTACTTCTTCTAATCTTCTTCTTCTTTTCTTCTTCTTCTCCTTCTCCTGGCAATAATAATAGCTAACGTTTACATAGCACTTAATAAATGCTAGGCACTGTGTTAAGTGTTTTGCAATTATTATCTCATTTGATCCTTGGGTGCAAATTCTGCTTCTACCACGTACTAATAGCATGATCATCAGCACGTCATTCAACATGAGTTTCAGTTTCCTCATCCATAAAATGAGAAGATAATCTCTGAAGTACTTGTCTCCCAGGGCTGTTGTGTGGATAAATAATGTAGTGTAAATAAAGTATTTCATAAACCTGAAAGCTCTATATATCACATCATAATTATGTAGTGTCCAAAATGAATTAACTCATTTAGCAAGCCCTTATTCAGCACTCTCTATATGTCAGGCACTGTAACAGGCTCTGAGTATACAGAGACAACAATGGGTGTTATTAGAATTCTTCTGCCCTCTGTCCTGGTCAGGACAATGTGGTAAATCTGTCCTCTGGATTTTCTGAAGAATGGAATGCTTCCAAAATGGAATGGATTGCCAGAGAAAGTAGGCAATTCCCCATTACTGGAGGAGAGGGTCATTTTTAAGCAGAGGATTATGGTGATCTCCTAGATCACATCACTTCTTTGTCCCCTTCCACATCTACTCTTTCATAATCCTATGATTCCCTGATAGATTCAAGGGAACAGTAACTTCAGGAAAGGTGACTAGTTAGAGGACTATTGCAGTTCTCCAGATGAGGAGTAGCAACGGCTGGATTACTGTGGAAACAAGGGGAAGGGACATAATTAATAGACACTATCAAAGCAAGAATCCAGGTGACTTACAGGATGTGAGGGGCCAGTAAAAGGGAAAACATCAGGAAGGATTCTGAAACTTTGAGTCTGACTAGGAGGATGGTGACGCCATTAATACATAAAGAAGTAAACAGCTTAGAAAAACAAATGGAAGTATCAGAACTATCAGTGGAAGTACTGGTATCAGACACATTGAGTTTGTTGGTATCAGATCATAGAAAGATCATACAGAAGTGGAATTCAGAGAGGTCAGACCTGCAGAGGTAGAGTATATATAGCAACTCTATTACTTACCTGGGTCTTAGTGAGGGTTTCCTTAAAACATAGCTTCCCTTCTTGAGGAAGGCTAGGGTACTTGGAAATTGAAAATGAGAGGGTGACTTCTTAGCTGTTTCCACTGGCTTTCCTAATGGGAAAATACGAGTGTTATAAGGTTATGAAATTTGAGAAGTCCTATATTTGTACAAGAATGGTTGGGTGAAATTGACTAAGTTAAGGTTTGTCAAAAGGAGAATGAGGAGGACTGAAGAGGAGAGGAGTGAGAGATGATGAGAAAGGCATGGCACCATGGCACCATCACCAAAGAACAAGAAATCTCCAATGGAAAAGAGGGCTACCTATAGTCACAAAGGAATATGGAAACAAGCAATACAGAAAGCAATTTTAACTTGGACCACTTTTATCTAACTTTTTCATTAACCCAATTTACATAGGGAAAAGGAAGACTGACATCCCTGGCTTCAAGATCAAGATGGATAGAGTTTCACAGCCTACAGATTTGGTGGCCAACTTATTATAATCACAATTCTCAATTAATTAAGTATATTTAAATACACAAAACACCTCATATCCATGATGACTACTCTAGGTAAGTACAGAGTAGGGAAGACAGGGTATCTTTCCCTAAAGGCATTGCCTCCATCCAATGGCCCTCTGAAACAAAACATAGCTCCACCATAAGCTGACATCCTTTGAATTTGGTTCTCCCTTTCTCCTCCCTCAGGATTTAAGCCTTATTTCCTGGAGTTTAGACACTCACCTGCAATTATGGGTTTCTTTTCATAATACTTCCTAAAGTCTTCACTTATTCTTTCTATGGCCAGCTTTGGGTACTGCCTGCACAGTTCTTCAAAGCTCATTTTCCTTGTGTCTGTCAAAGGAGGAGAGGTTTCGGGGGACAGATTGCTTACCAATAATGAGCTCAAAAGTTGATTGATGTTGGCCTGGTGAAAATTTTCCATTAAAATGCATTACATAAATATATCTGCATATGTGTGTGTTTTATTTAAACATGATACCATGTTGGAATGATCTGGCTGCATAATGATACGTGTGGGCCCACAAGGGCCTCTCATGCAAGTTAGAAGCAAGGGACAGAGTCCAGAGACCTGCTGGACATCAAGCCTCTGTTCCTCAGGAACCTACAAAAATAATTATCGATAAAGGGCAAAGGGCCACTGAAAGAAAGAATGTGAGGCTTTGGAGCCGATTCAGAAACCACATTAATGTCTTAGTTCACAAGAGGTTTCGGATGATTCCAATATTGTGGCGTGACTCCTTTTCTCTCACCTGACTGTGGCTCCCAAGCACAGAGACTAACGACTTTACCTTCCCTGAACACCGAAGGCTGTAATTCCAAATGGAGAGATCCTCCTCTTTTCATATCTTGCGTAGCTATCATTTTCCAGTGCTTGTCCATGAGGGCTTCCATGTCTTCCAGGGTGGACAAGCCCAGGCACAGCCCCAGGGATTCTTGTATTCTCTTACACAACAGAACGTACTCCAGGTTGTCCAAAGGTTCCTTTGCTTTCTGCCTCTTGCTTTCACTGTTACTGGTTTGAGACTAATAGAAAGAGATGGTGAGTTTGCCACAAGAACAGGAGACCACACCAGAGGCAATTTCCTTCTGGTTCATCCCTCCAGGCTGACACATGCCAACTGGTGTCAAAATTGAGAAGAATAATCCCTCTTTGTATGAGTTCCCTCCACCTCCACCTCACCACTGGACCCAGTTCCTATAAGAAGTGAAATCTTCCTGGTTTGCAAGTCTGTGGAAAGAAGTTGGGGCCAGGTGTGGATGGATTGGAATTATTTTGAAGAAAGTGAGAGTACTCAATTTCTTTTATGCTGGACACCATGACCGTTATTCATCCCTGAAGCGTAAGTGGGTGTCTCAATCCCTTTTGTTGAAACCATAAAAATATTAAATTCTATGTTGTCAGATAGTCTGTGGCATAACAACCACCTCCTTTGCAAAAACACTCACAAGAATCCCCCAGTACCTTCTCCACCCAATGCTGACCCCTTAACCTCTCCTACCACAAAGATGAGAAACCAGTGGTCATCAAGGTCAAGGAAGTCATCAAACAAGGAAGCAAGAATCTAAAATCCAAACACAAAATATGAAGTATTGAAACAAGTGTACTCTCTGGCCCTCTGGGGCTTAAGTTCATCTGGGATAATAATAACAATAATAATAAATAATAGTGACTACCAACATTTATATGGTGCTCAACAATTTATAAAGCACTTTGTGTGTATCATTTTATTTGAATAAGCTGATTTATTCAGGAAACTGAATTGGAAGAAAAACTCAACAGTGATAAACAATACCAGCCACACCCATTCCTTTGCCTCTAGGATGACACTTCATTCGGAAGTCTGGGAGCCTCAGCTAATTACTGTTTACATAAAGGGTGTCATTTTGTGTAATTTGCTGAAAAAAAAATAACAATAAAAGCAAGTCAGAGTTTTACACATATGTGACAACAGGGTTGCGTGAGACTCAGAAGAGAAGATAAACGTCTCAGGGTTGTGAACTTGGAAGCAGAAACTTTAGGTTCCAGTCCCATTGCTCACACTTTGGAGAATCATTGAATGGCACAGTCGGCTAGTTCAGCCCATCTCTGAACCAGGATCGTCTCTGTAGTCTACCTGGAAAATGGCCACCCAGTTTTACTTGAAGGTCCCTAACAAGGGGACCCCACTGCCTCTGGAAGTAGCCCTTTCCACGTGGAGAGAGCTCAGCTATTTAGAATTTTTTCCACTAATACTGAGCCCAGATTAGTTTCCTTGTAACTTCCTCCCACTGCTTCTAATTTTGCCTTGTGGGACCAAGTGTTACTACAAGAGAACCCTTCAAATGTCTGAAGACAGCTATCATCGCTTTCCTAAAGCTTCTGCTCTTCAAGCTAAGCATGCCCTGCTCCTTCAGCTAACTCCCAAATACATGAACTTGAGGCCACAGCTAGTGTTTGGTGTAAGCAATTTACTTGAACTTTCTGAATCGCCATTCTCCATTTACAAGATGAGGATAATATCAACAATGTCTATCTCAGAGTTGCAAGGAAAGTCCGTTGTAAGCCTAGAATACCTTGTAAAAAGAGAGCTAGGCCGAATGTAATTGAACTGATGACCTTTTTTTCCCTTTCTGTATACCCCCAGTGCTTAACACAGTGCCTGGCACGCAGTTAAGGGCTTAATAAATGCTAGTTGTCTGGCTAAATGTGAAAGCATTTTGTAAGGTTTGATACAAATGGGAGAGACCAGTATGTTATTCATTCAATAAACATTTATTGAGTTCTTATGTGCCAGGCACTTCACCATGCCCTGGGGGAGATTTTAAAAAATGATCAAGACACATTTCATTGCCTTCATGGAATGTGAATGAATCTTCCAGGGATGATAAGGCATTTACAAATTTGCATTACAAATGAATGTAATGGAAATAAAATATGACATCTTCATGAGACAGGATAAACAAAGTACCCTGAGTTCAGACAAGGGAGAGTTTACTAATAGCTGGAAAAGAGAGGAAGGGTTCAGGGAAGAGGTGACAGCATACCATGACATGAAAGAAGTCCTAAAGAAACAAAGAAGGAGAGAGAGAGAGAGAGAGAGAGAGAGAGAGAGAGAGAGAGAGAGAGAGAGAGAGAGAGCACACATGGGCTCTGGTGACAATTACTAAGGACCAAATTGAGAAGAGCAACATGCTGTGAAAAAAGGTTGATAACTGAAAAGCCTTGCTAGTAAGGGAATATTGGGGACCACTGTCTCACAATCTGCAATTATGTGCATGGAGCTTGGAGAGAAGACACTTTGCCAACAAATCTATCTCTCTGTGTCTTGTGATTTGTTTGTTTTTAGTTCTTCAAGTCTTCAGACCAAATTTCTCTTTTTCTTTATATTTCTGAAATCTGAAGAAGCTTTGGAGAGTGTGGAGGCAGACAGATAAGAAATAAGGTTGTATAAAGTTTTTATCTTGTAGACTAAATCAGAAACTGAGTTTGACAGAAATGTAAGTTCTCTACTGTGAATAAATGTTAACTCTTTCCTGCTTCACAGAAAAGAGAAAAGTTTGCGTAAATAAAGAGAATACATTTTAGAAAACCGAATTGGGTACTTGAGAATTTAAAAAATTGAGGTGAAGTAGAATAACTTTTGAATTGGTGCGTGTGTCGAAATTATAAATTTTGCTGCAAATTATCTGAGTCTTACCCATTTTTATAATAGATGATGTATTTGAATTTTTGAGAACTATTTTGCTTCTTGACCACAAAAGAGAAGCTTATTTAAGAAAGCAACTTGAAATGTACATGCAATTTATTTAGAAAAATTCTTAGTGTAACTTCTGTGAATATTATACTAGAACTTAATTGTTATTTGAATGGACTAAGTTTTTGTAAAATAATTGCTGAAAGCATCTTAAAGGAGTTTTGGTGCTTCCATCTTTTATAGGAAATAACAGAATTGGAACAAAATACACGGAAGTTTAAGTGAAGGAAAAGAAGGTTTGAGTGTGTTGACGGAAAGATTTGAAGAAACTTTTGACTTTGTTTAGATGGGAATGTTGTGAAACTTTGTGTGTTTTATTTTATTGGGAACAATAGTAAAAAAAAAAATTGTAGCTTGATTTAGAAGCATATAGGGGAAAATTATAGAGAGCTGGGGGTAATCCGAAAGCAATGGGAACTATACTCAGAGATTTTCAATGTTGCCATCAGAACACACAGATTTGAATTAAATTTAAGCGTGATTAAAAGCATGATTCAGATAGATTATAACCTAATATCAGACTCTGCCACTTTTAAAATATTTGGCAGTAGAATGACTGGAAATAGAGGACTCCATAATATGACCTATCATTAAAATGGTGAATTCTTTTAAAAATCTGGATTCTTTTGGGTTATAGGTTTAATTGTTATACATCCAATTGTTAAAAGAATAATGTGAATTGGGTAGGTAGGTGGCACAGTGGATAGAGCTCTGGCCTTGGAGTCAGGAGGACCTGAGTTTAGATCTGGACTCAAGACAGTCGATACTTACTAGCTGTGCGACCCTGGACAGGTCACTTAACCCTGGTTACTCACCGAAAAAGCAAAAAAAAAAAAAAAAAAAGTGAATTGCTTTGTTCATTTGGAAATACAATAGATAATAATGTTTTATTGTGATTTTAATAAATCAAGAATCTCTTTAAAATTTCCTCATCTGTGAAAAGCAGAGTCCTAAGATCTTATCAGCCCTGCTAACAGTTTAAAACTGTCCTGAGAACTTCCAGAATATCTAAGAGAAGTTGTTCCTGAAAGATCAGATGGCTACAAAGGACCTTTGAGGTTCAAGATGAAATATGCTGATTAAATAAGCATTGGTGGGCAGATAAATCCCAACCTATAACTCCTTGGTGGAAGGATCTGGCTTTTGGATGGAGCAAGATCTTCCCTTGCTTGCTCAGTGAAACTTGGGGCCAAGGGAACTAACGCTATCATGGTTCAGCAGCTCATCCAACTTCTTGATGCCTCCCTCGGTCAGTGACAGAATTAACCTTGATGAAGAAGGGGAATGTTGAATGTAGCTAGCTATGAGCTGACCGTGCCCCAACCCCAGAGCCTGAGGATGGTTAAGCTGGTCCAAACCAGTTACAAAAACAACTAGTTGCACCTGGAGCCAGCCTTTCTGACTAGATGGGACCACTTTCCAACCTCCCCAGCCTTTGGCTATTTTGTAACTTAGCCCTCCCTGTTGCTGCCCCACCCAAGCATTTTTCTCTTATTGAATCTTAATCAAGCATTATTCTCTTATGCCTTAATTGAAGGCATTTTAAAGGCTGGTTTTAGACTGGCAGATGGAGAGAATGGCATCCCATGCTTGACCATCAGTGAAACATTCCTTCCATGTGGAATGTTCTCCCTGTCCATTTTGAATTGTGGAACTCCTACCCACATTTATAGATCCACTTAAATTTCCCTTCTTTCATGAAGCATGAAAGTGTATTTAAACCCTGCCATTTCTGCCCCTTGTGAGCACTCCTACACTCTGGTACTGTGAGGTATCCCGAATTGCAATTCTCTTGCTTTGATGAAAGACCCTTGTTGTCACTACTTTGGTAGTCCTCCTTATTTCAGGCTGACAATGTGTAGAGAAGATGGAGGCAAGGGGAAGTAACTCACAATGGAAACATGAATGATGTGCCAAGATGAGCTAAGGCTGATGGCACTGAAATGGCTGTTTTTGCTCTGGTTAGGCACAAGAAGAAGACTAAAGGAATAGAATCACTGCTCTGGATGAATAGAGTGAGGAGAACAGATGAGGGAGGACCTAATTCTTGATATGCTTATGGTTTTGTTTTTAAAAGAGGACAACAATTTTTGAACTAGGAAGGATAGACAAAAAGTGGCAAACAAGAGTGATTATAAAATAGTTAATAGGAAATGGTTAATCCAAGTGAAGAGATGAAAAAAGAACCCTTAACTACCCTCAAATGACCCAAATGAATTACATCTCACAGTACATAGAGGACTGGAAAATATGATTGCTAAGCTGCTGCCAGTGATTCTTGAAAAATTAAAGAAAATAAGAGAAGTACTGAAGGGTTGAAAATGGACAAATGCCGACCCCCTGCCCCTTATTTTTTAAAGAGAAGAGGGTGAAGTTTTCAAATTATAGGATAGTGAACTTGAGTTTACTTTTGGAAGCATTCCAAAGCACATTTACTAAAGGAATAGTTTGTGAAAATTTAGAAAGGGAAACAATTATTATCATGAGCCAGCATGGCTTCATTAAAAAGAGTTACATGACAACTTTATCCTATACATAAAAGGAATAGTAAATTGTACATAATTTGGAGTTTCATATATAATCTTTCCCCCCCTATTTTACTGTTATGGAAATGCTTGTTTCATTTCTTAAGTTCAGAATAAAATAAAAAATTTTTAAAAGAATTTAAAGATTCCAAAACAATTTTAATTTTTAATTGAAGGCATTTTAAAGGCTGGTTTTAGACTGGAAGATGGAGAGAATGGCATCCCATGCTTGACCATCAATGAAACATTCCTTCCATGAGGAATGTCCTCCCTGTCCATTTTGAATTGTGGAAATCCTACCCACATTTATAGATCCACTTAAATTTCCCTTCTTTCATGAAGCATTCCCTGATTTACCCAGCTGGAAGTGATATCTTCCTCCTCTGAACACTCATTGTCCTTCCTCCTATTTTTGTATCTCTCTTAACATGTTTTATCTTTATGTTTATCTTATCTTTTTTTATTAGATGTTCTCCTGTCTTACTTCTTGAGGGCAGGGACCACACCATTCACACAGTTCCTTGTATGTGGAATGATTTAACAATCATTGAATTAAATTGAACTGGGAGCTGAGAATTCTAACTTAAGCCATTGCTTTTGGCCCTAGGCTTCTTCAATATTAGCCTGAGGCTACTGGCTGATATCGTATCCTCTAATCCACATCATACCACAGCTTAACTTTCTAACTGTAAACTAGTTAGTAAGGAGCCTGAGCCACTGGCCATAGTGAATTCGTTTCTCATCAGGGTTTTCCTGCTATGACCCTCTTCCTTTGTCTTCCCACCTGTTATCTGATCCTATGAACCCTGCTGGAAGATCTTAGATATATAGACTGGGGTACTAAATCCCTTATTCAAACTGCCACAGCTCTCTTGGGAGGAGGAATGATTTTCTTAAGCCTTCCTAGATGAGAGGAATGCATGGTGATCCTATGACAAACCAGTGTATAAGATCATGGCTATACTAGGCCTAGACAATAAACAGCGATCTCCAGGTGGACTATTGGTGAATTTTCATTTGTGTACTTTCAAGAGGGAAGTGAACAAGAGTGGCCTGCTGTCCAGTGACCTGGAAGATTCAATATACCTGGTTGCTTTAGGAAGCTCATTCAACCTCGTACCATCTTCCTCCATAGTTACAAAGAATTAATACTAGAAACATAGGAATAACACTGTTGGAATCCACCCACTGATGGAGGCACTTGTCCTCACAAGGGGCCAAATGCCATGCTAGCTCTCAGCATCCTAGCGTACCTTGCATATCTCTTTCTGTGCTTTGGGGATCCAGGGAATCACATCCCCAGAGGGCAGCAGCTCTTTCAGATGCCGAATGGTTTGAGGTTTGAGCGGCAGGATGGGGCCATTGTCCTCATTTAGGTAGAGCTCACAGATGCGATTTCCAAGAGTATGCCGAAGTAGCAGATTGCCACCTTTCTTGGCACTGATACAAATGGTCAGGAAGTTGTCCAGATCCTTCCAGAGATGTAGGAGGCGGTTCTCCATCTTGTAGTGTTTACTCTTAAGGTAGTCTCCAAAAGGGTTCCCTGCACAGGAATCAGCAGTGAAAGCCCAGTGGAGATATTCAAAGGAATAACTTTTCCGAACCACCTTCTTTAGGGACATCAGGGAGGATTGGTTGATGACAGGGGTGGCATGACGCAATTTGGCCGTGAATTTCTTCTCACAGATTTCTTCTAGGGAAAAGGGCAGATAAGTTTTTTCATCATTTGCCTTGGAGTTGAAGGTTAAGGAACTCATGCTCTCCTTTACCTTTAAGTCACACAGACTGTCTTTCACATGCAGTGGTCTCAAGGCACCCATCCGCACAACAAGTTTTGGTGGAGGGCAGAAGACATCAGGGAAGCCTTGAAATCCTTTGTCAAGCAACTTGCTCTTTTGGGGAGGCAAAGTGTGTAGGACGGGCAGTTCAGGTTCAACAGTCCACGTGCCCTGCTCAATGAATCGCCACATCTTCCTCTTGGTTTTCTTGCTGCAGTATGGCTTCCGGGTCACATAAAGTCTCCTGATGTTCATATCAAGGGGGAGGTCACTTGGCAAAGAGTCAGTACCCTCCTCATCCCCCTGACAGAGGCGGTCTTCATACTCCTGCAGCAGAGCCTGGCACTTCTCCTCCTTGGCCATATTGATCTTGCAGTGCATGTAGAAGTTCGGGAGCCAATAGCTCTGAATTTTGAACAGAGCCACTTTCTGCATGCGGCTCAGGATCTCCCTCCTGGTAGCGGACTGGTTGGGATGCCACACGGAGAGGTTCATCAGTGACTCTGGAAAGCACACGGAGAAACAAAAGGTGAAGGTAGGATGATGATTTCTCCCTCAGTGCGTGGGGGAAAGGAATGGGAAAGAGACAAAATAAACGATTGTTAGTTGAAATTAGAATAAAAAAAGTGAAGATATGATCATTTTGCTACTCCAAGTGCTTTCCAACATATTATCTCCTTTGTTTCTTACAGCCACCCTGGGAGGGAAGGGGGATCCAAACATTAACCCCATTTTCCTCATTTAACTGATGGGATAATTGAACCAGTGAACCAGTAGTAAAGACTGTGGGTTGAGCTCTGATCTGCTGAGAGCAATGGTGACGGTCATTTGGATTGTGCCCAGTGTTCTGACCGAGCTATGAAGTGGAGAGGGGAACACTTGTTATCCTTGCCTTACATAATAAAGTCTAACCTAGACTATTGAATGGATTTAGATAAATAAAAGAAAAAAAATCTGAGGAAATGTTGCAGATTATGAAGAGTCTCAGTCTTGAAGTCTTTTTGAATGAAGGGTATGCTAGATGACCACAGAGAGGACTTTCCAGCCCTGTGTTTCTCTAGCCAACTTTCATTCATCCATATAAATGGGAGCGAGCAGAGGTATAACTAGTCTAAAACAGGAGGTATTGCTACTAGGAGTTGGAATGAACCTTTAATGTACTTACAGTTGAATATGGGGATGTCTGGGAATTCCTTTCAGACAAAATGATGAAGTTACACTGGTTCAGGAGGAAGTAAGCAGCTGCTCATTTGCCCCAACCCAGTGTTGGGTCCTTCTAGCTATCTATACCACTCTGGAAAAAGGCAACTCATCTCTTAGGCTAATGCAAAGTGCCAGCCTAAGTAGAGGTGCCTTCTTTCAGACGCTTCCTATTTGGGCTCCATAGGATTTTTATCATGCATAGAAAAAGACTTTTTTTTAAAAAAAGTGAGCTATCAGTGAAGCAATTAACTAGAGAGCTGCAGTAACTACCAATAATAAAGAAAACAAGTGATGAGGTGGACAATTAAAAAATGATTTGATTCTATCAATCCCTCCATGAGGTTCCCCACTTATGGTGCCTTTCAGATTCTTACTGATGTTCGTATTGCAAAGAATCAACACAGAGGACCCTTCCTGCAAGTGAGTGGCCTTCAGCACCAGGAGGAGGGACAGGTAGGCATCCTTCTGCTTATCATTGGTCTCATCTATCCCGAGGATTCTCTCAGCAATTATCCAGAACTCCACCAGCTCCTCCCCTGCAGAGCAGACAGCAAAGTAAGAGCAGAGTAGACTCCATGCATAGTTAGAGTTGGCAGCCTCCATCCTGGTATATCTTGAAGAACTGACACATCTACCTGAACCCCCTGCCACACAGCCTGGAATTTTGTCAGGAAAAGAGTCTTGGAGTGAAATTACTCTCTCTACAAAAGCCCCATTACCTGAAAGGAAAGGTAGGGTATAGAGCCACAAATAGGCATTCTGGTGCCCAAGGCAAATTCAATTAGTGAAAGGAGGAACTGTCTTGGGGTTTAGGATCCCACATCCTTGCTGATCTTGGGCTTGGGCATCCCCTGGCGAAGGTGTGATGTGGGTCTCCAGTCATGGTGCCAGTGAGAGGCAGCCCCACTGGGGACAGTCATGCTAGGAAAAGGGGTACAGAGGAGGTAACTGAGGCTCAAAGAGGCTCAGTGACTTGCCTAAGGTCAGAGCTAAGTGTCAAAAATAGGACTTGAAGCAAAGTCTTCCTGACTCTGAGTTCAGACCTCCATCCATTGTCTTTCTGCCTCTCCTCAGTGCACTGATAGAAAAGGCAGTCCTGAATGGCACACCAGAGTAGGAGATTTGAAGCAGCTAGCAGGATAGGATAGGGGACAGTGATAACTCTATGAAAGAAATTCAGAACATAGTCTGTTCACTCTTCCCTTTCCTATTCCTCAGAACACAATAACATATGCTGAAGAGGTGGAGGAAGCTGGAGAGAAAAAGCCTCTCTTTGATTCTTTGTTCAAACCATGGTCATGGCCAAGGTGGACTGAACCCAAACCAGCAGTCTGGGATGCAAAATTCTAACTGTGTCACCAACAGGCAAGTGGGGAAGAGAGATTGAGGCTTTAAGCACTGCTACCTATTCCTGGAAAGGGCCCAGGGTGTGTGTGCCTGGTTCATAATCTCTCTATGGAGTTTCAAGCATAGAGTGGACAGAGACCTGTTTTTGTCCTCTTTCTATGTGGCATCAATTCCCAGGAAGTTTTCCTCCATTGGCTTACATAAATCCAAACTCCAACCCATGAGTTGGCAAAGTGGATTCACTATGTCTTCATTTTCTTAAATCTTGATTTAAAGAGGCAACAACACCCTTATTTTGTATCCTAGAATCCCCCCCCCCCCGTGATTCAATAGAAAAGAGGAGATGGAGTGAAGGAGGTGGGAGGGAAGCAGGTCACAGGAATAGCTACAGGAACCCACCTGCTGTGCCACTGAGGTAGGCACAGAAGCGCCACATTCCCCGGACGCTGCCAACACATTTGTAGAGCAGCCACTGGTCTGCTGTCTTCCATCTCATCATGTTGGCTACCAGAAAAAGCTGACAGTGAGAGGGTGGTCCCCAACCCCACCCAAGAAGCTTTGCAAATAGCCAATCTCCTCCTAGCTGTGGTCAATCATCTCAGCCCATTAGACCACTGTGCTCAGGAAACCAAGGCCATAGTTTCAAATATTGGGAACAGTCATTTCTAGAGTACCCAGGTATTGGGGGCAGCTGCCTTGGCAGAGGCTCATGTACCTAAGTATAATCATCCCATGAATTCCTTGCAATAAATGGCTGGAATTATCCATCTCCTTCTTCACATGCTGTCCTTTGCTGACCAACCATTTTTCCTGTTCAAGGTCACCTTTGATGTTGATTTTCACTCACTTTCACCTGGACATACATGTATCAAAGGAGTTAACACATTGTGACTTAAACTGGTTTTGCATGCCCTTGGGTTGGCCCTGAATCCCCTTGGCTGTGGTCAGTTAGCTCCATGGATTAGAAAACGTACTCTTGAAAATAAAGTTGAATGTCTGACCTCTGTCTATAAAACAATTTCTCCAAACATGCTTTTAACTCTGGCTAGGCTGGTTCAAGAAGCCAGGTCTCCTGCCTTATAAGCCCATTACTGTAAGCAGTAATCTGTAGAAGAGATCTTAATTCTTATCCTGTCTTGTCTCATGAAGACAGGTGCTTTCATGTACCAACTTTTCCAAAGGCACCATAGCATAGCAATATGAACATGTTGACCCTTAATGAAGACTATTGGACACGGAATTCTTTTTTTTTTTTGGCTAGGCAATGGGGTTAAGTGACTTGCCCAGAGTCACACAGCTAGTGAGTGTTATATGTCTGAGGCCGGATTTGAACTCAGGTCCTCCTGAATCCAGGGCTAGGGCTCTATGCACTGTGTCACCTAGCTGCCCCAGACATGGAATTCTTGTTGTAAGGTCTTGTGGCCTCCCATTGTATTCTCATTGTTCTACAATTTTTTCCTTGGTGTCCATCATAAAACAGTGCTGGACTCTTTTCCCTTTAGATATCTGGCTCCTGTCTCTTGTACTCACTTGATTGAAGCTTCAATCTTCAAGAGATTGTTCAATCTTCAATATTTTGAAGCCTACCAATTAAATTCAGTTTTCTTTTCCTGGCATTCAGTGCCCTCCATAGATTGGCACCTCCGTACCTAGCCTTCTATCGTCTTTTATTCCTCATCTTCATTCACTCAATGATATAGTTAAACCAAAATATTCTGTTTCTGAAACATGAACAAAGATGGAAATCTTTGTTCATGCTGCTGCCTAGGACTGGAATGTCTTCCCTACAACTATTTGCTTGTTGGATTCCTACCCATTCATTCAGTCCCACTTAAATATCACCTTCTCCATAGAAATTTCTTTGATCTTTGCTGTCTGTAGTGACCTGAACCCTTTTGGTTCTCATTAAATGTTTTTTGCATCCTTCTAATTGACTAAACCATACATTATTGTTTATTAAACACCTACATGACTGTAAGTTCCTTAAGCAACTTTTTGTCTGCTAGACTTTGTAGCTCTTAATGCACATTGCATAATGCTCTGCACAGAATAATCATTTAAAAGTTGTCCAGTTGAATTGAAATTGAATTGTGCTCACCACCCTCTGGGGATTTGATGAAACTGAGGAGTTCCTTACAGAGCATATAATGGTGACATAAGTTGGTCTTGCAGAAATAAGGTAATCTGTATTTTTCCAACCATGTCAATAAGCCTTTGTACTTGGCAGTCTAAAATTCAAGAAGGACAGGAACAGAAGAGAAAATAATGGCCAATGGGAATCTTCCCACCCATCTCAGAATGGGGTAAATGACAGTCCTCTCCCTCTCCCCCCGATCAAGCTGGATCCCACTATTTGAGATTGGAGGCACAGGGTGCTGAAGACAGAGTCCAAAGAGAGGAAACTCTAGTCTTTGGTTGAGGTTGGCAAAGAGGAAGCTGTATTAGGAAGGAAGAAAAGTAGTGGTTTGAATTCATGCAATGTTCTTTCATTTCCAAATCCATTTCTCTGAATGTGTTAATGTTGTTTAAAATAGAATCTATAGTCTATGTGAAAAATGGACCTTCCTTCCCAAAACATCCTTCCATAGCCACCACTCCCCACTCCCCCACAAAAGGATTATTTTCCCCTATTAAGCTCCTCCTGAGAAGGCAGGGTCTTAATTTTTGTATTTATATGCACAAATCTTAGCCCAATGCCTGTCAAGCAGTAAGTAAACACTTAACAAGGAGACAGCCAGCCTACTGGTGAGGAGCCTCTCTGTATATATTAGGAAAATTATTTACCTGGTTCAACATTGGTTGTCCTGCCCCTCATGTGCCTTCAACTTGCCTCAAGTTTTGTTTCCAACCCACTCCCCCTTTCCCCAGCCACACTTCAACTTACCCCTAAAGCCCCCCCCCATATGCCTATTCCATTTAATGAAGGCTAGAACTTGACTTACCAAAGTATAGGGTAACTCTGGCCATAGAATCCATTGTAAATCATGAACTATATAAATTGGCATTTGACCAAAGACCTGCAAAAGAAAGAGAAGAATCCAGTCAGTAGAATGGAGTTTATTACCCATGTGTATAAAATGCCTACTCTTTACAGAACAGTGTTTCTTGGGGCCATGCTCAACTATTTCAGAAGATATTATCCTCAAAATATTCCCAGCTTAACAATACTGACCACTAGAGCAGAGTAACCTTGCAGATACATACCCCAAATTGACCAGCCTACTGCATGTGCATATGTGTGCTTGTGTATGTTTTTAACTAGTTCTTCTTATCCAACCTGTATATCCAAGTCAGTCAGCCAGTCAATCAGTGAATCAACAAGCATTTATTAAATATTTACTATTTGTTAGGCACCACTATGCTAAGCACTGGAGATATAAAGAGAAGCAAGTTTAATGGAAGAGACAATGTGTAAGTGGCTAGGTGTGTGTAAAATATATAGAGAGCAAATAGAAAGTAATTTGTGAGAGGAAGCCAGTAGCAGCAGATGGGACCAAGAAAAGACTCCTGAAGAATGTAGGATTTGATCTGAGTCTTGAAGGAAGTGAGGGAACTGAGGAGGTAGAGCATTCTAGGCATGAGAGATAGCTAGCAGAAAGACATGGAGATATCCTCATTCAGTAGGCCAGTGAGACTGGATTGCATAATGCACCAAGGAGAGTAAAGTGTAAAGCTGGAAAAGATAGGGTGAAATAATTTTCCAGGCCATGACAACTTAGAAGGTCAACAGGACACTACTGTCTCACTCAGGTAAGAGGAGCACAGTCCAGCAGATGTGGCATCTGGGTAATCCAGCAACAGGTCTCACTCCAGCAAGTTAGCAGTGAGATCTCAAGCTCTAGGAGAAGCCAGCAGCAAAGTCCCATTCCCCTGGTGCAAGCCAGCAATATAGTCTTGTTCCCCCTGGCACAAGAGGCTCGGGACAGTGCTCCCTCACCCCAGGAGCAAAGCTCGCTTATAACATAAAGTTAAAAGTCATGAGGTAGGTTGGAAGAATGAGCAAAAAACAAACAAACAAACAAACAAACAAACAAACAAACCTGACAATAGAAAGTTACTATGGTGACAGGGAAGATCAAAACACAAAGTCAGAAGAGAACAACAATGTCAAAATGGCTACTCATGAAGCCTCAAAGAAAAATGTGAATTGGTCTCTGGCCAAAAAAAAAAAAAAAAAAAAAAAGGCCTCCTAGAGGAACCCAAAAAGAATTTTAAAAATCAAATAAGAGAGGTAGAGGAAAAATTGAGAAAAGAAATGAGAATGATATATGACAATCATGAAAAAAACAGTCAACAAAAAATGGAAAAAGATGTACAAAAATTCACTGAAGAAAACAACTCCTTAAAAAGTAGAATTGAGAGGGCAGCTAAGTGGCACAGTGGATAGAGCACTGGCCCTGAAATCAGGAGGACCGGAGTTCAAATCTGGCCTCAGACTGAACACTTGACATGTACTATCTGTGTGACCTTGGGCAAGTCACTTAACCCCTATTGCCTCACTAACAAAAAAAAAGTAGAATTGACCAAATGGAAAAAAGATGTATAAAAATCCACGAAGAAAATAATTCCTTAAAAATTAGAATTTGTCAAGTAGAAGCTAATGATGCCATAAGACATCAAGAAACAATAAAACAAAATCAAAAGAATGAAAAAAATAGAAGAAAATGTGAAATATCTCACTGAGAAAACAATGAACCTGGAAAATAAATCCAGGAGAGATAATTTAAGAATTATTGGAGTACCCGAAAGCCATGATCAAGAGGGAAAAAAAAGGCCTGGACATCATATTTCAAGAAATTATTAAGGAAAATTGTCTGATATCCTAGAACCAGAGGGCAAAATAGAGATTGAAAGAATCCATTGATCCCCTCCTGAAAGAAATCTCAAAATTAAAACCCCTAGGAATATTATAGATGAATTCCAGAGCTCCCAGGTAAAGGAAAAAATATTGCAAGCAGACAGAAAAAAAACAATTCAAATATCATAGAGACAGTTGGGATCACACAATATTTAGTATCTTCCACATATTCCACAGAATATGATATTCTGGAGGGCAAAGGAACTAAGATTACTACCCAAAACCATCTTTACTTCAAAACTGCATATAATCCTTCAGGGAGAAAAATAGATATTCAATGAAATAGAAGACTTCCAAGCATTCTTGATGAAAAGACCAGAGCTGAACAGAAAATTCGATCTTCAAATATGAGACTCAAGAAAAGCATAAAAAAGTAAACAAGAAAGAAAAAAACATAAGGGATTCAATAAGGTTAAACTGTTTATGTTCCTACAGGGGAAGCTGATACTTGTAACTCTTAAGAATTTTATCACTATTAGGCCAGTTAGAGCATATATAGACAGAGGGCACAAGTATAAGTTGACTATGATGGCATGATATAAAAAAATACCAAAATTAAGGAATGAAAAAGATGTTTGTATTGGGAGAAGAGGGAAGGATGATGTAGGAGAGAGTATATTGTATCACAGGAAGAGGCACACAAGACCTATTACAGTGAAAGGAAAGATGGGGTGGGGGCAACACTTGAACCTTACTCTCATCAGAATTGACTCAAAAAGGGAATAACATACACACTCATTTGGGTATAGAAATCCATCTTACTCTATAGGGAAGTAGGAGGGGTTGGGAGAGAGAGGAGGACACTGATAGAAAGGAGGGCAGATTGGGGGAGGCAGTAGTCAGAAGCAAAACACTGGTGAGGAGGGACAGGGTGAAAGGAGAGAGGCAGAGAAACAGAGACAGACAGAAACAGAGATGGAGGGACAGAGAGAGAGACACACACACATAGAGACAGAGACACATACACACAGATGGAGACAGAGAAAAGCATAAACAGGAGAAAAAAGGATGGAGGGAAATACACAGTAATCACAACCCTAAATATGAAGGTGATGAACTCACCCATAAAATGGAAGCAGATGTCAGAGTGGATTAAAAACCATAATCTTACAATTTGTTGTTTAAAAGAAATGCATTTGAAGCAGAAAGACACACATAGAGTAAAGGTAAGGGGCTGGAGCAGAGTCTATTATGCTTCAGCTGAAGTAAAAAAAGTAGAAGCAGCAATTATGATCTTGGGCAAAGCAAAAGCAAAAATAGATCTAATTAAAAGATAAAACCATATCATACTGAAAGGTACCATAGACAATGAAATAATATCAATATTAAACATATATTCACCAAATGGTATAGTATCCAAATTTTTAAAGGAGAAGTCAAATGAATTACAGGAAATAGACAGCAAGACTATATTAGTTTTTGTTGTTCAGTAATTTCAGTCATGATGGAATCTTCAGGACCCCATCTGGGTTGTTTTTTTTTTTCCTTTTTTTAACAAAGATGCTAGAGTGCTTTGCCATTTCATTCTCTAGCTTATTTTATAGATGAGGAAACTGAGGCAAAAAGGGTTAACTTATTTGCCTAGAATTCACACAACTAGTAAGTGTCTGAGGCCAGATTTGAACTCAGGTCTTCTAGGCCCAGTGCTCTATCCACTTAGTCATAGGAGGAAATCGACAGTAACACTATACTACTAGAAAACCTCAACTTTCCCCTCTCAGAACTAAATAAATCTAACCCCAAGATAAACACAAAAGAAGTTAAGATGAATAGAATTTTAGAAAAGTTAGATATAATAGACCTCTAGAGAAAATTGAATGGGAATAGAAAGGAATATACCTTTTTCTTGGTGGTACATAGCACCTACACAAAAATTGATCATATATTAGGGCATAAAAACCTCACACTAAAATGTAGAGAAGCAGAAATATTAAATACACCCCTTTCAGATTATAACATGATAAATATTATATTCAATAAAGGGCCATGGAAAGAGAGATTAAAAATTATTTGGAAACTAAATAATCTAATCCCAAAGAATCAGTGAGTCAAAGAACAAATCATAGAAACAAAAATTTCGTGAAAGAGAATAGAAACAATGAGACAGCACATCAAAATTTATAGGATGCAGCCAAAGCACCACTTAGGGGAAAATTTATATCTCTAGACAACAACAAAATAGAGAAAGAGCAGATCAATGAATTGGGCATGCAACTAAAAAAAAAACTAGAAAAAGAACAAATTAAAAATCCCCAATTAAACACCAAATTGGAAATCCTGAAAATCAAAAGAGAGATTAAAAAATTGAAAGTAATAAAGCCATTGAATTAATGATTAAAAGTAGGAGCTAGTTTTATAAAAAATAAAATAGATAAACCATTGGTTAATTTGATTTTAAAAAAAAGAAAAAAGAAAACCAAATTACCTGTATCAAAAATGAAAAAGAAAAAGAAAATAAAAAAGTGAATGCACCACCAATGAAGAGAAAATTAAAGCAATTATTATGAGCTATTTTGCCCAATTATATGCCAATAAATCTGACTATCTAGGTGAAAGGGATGAATATGTGCAAAATATAATTTCCCCAGATTAACAGAAGAGAAGATAGAATACTTAAAGAATCCCATCTTAGAAAAAGAAATTGAACAAGTCTTCAAAAAACTCCCTAAGGAAAAAAATCTTAGAGCCAGATGGATTCATAAGTGAATTCTACCAAACATTTAAAGAACAATGAATTCCAATACTATATAAACTATTTGGGAAAAAAGATGAAGGAGTCTTTTTATGACACAAATATGGTGCTGATAGCTAAAACAGAAAGTGTGAAGACAGAGAAAGAAAACTATAGACCTATAACTATAACTATAGACCAATTTCCCCAAAGTGGTATGAATATTGATGCAAAAAATGTAAATAAAATTTAATAAAACACTAGCAAGGAGATTATAGCAATATATCACAAGGATCATACACTATGACCAGGTGGGATTTATACCAAAAATGCAGAGCTGGTTCAATATTAGGAAAACTATCAGCACAATTGACCATATCAATAACAAAACAAATAGAAATTATAAGATTATCTCAATGGATGTAGAAAAAGCCTTTAATAAAATATAGTACTCATTCCTATTAAAAATACTAGAGAATAGGAACAAACGGAGCTTTCCCTAAAATGGTAAGTAGTATCTATCTAAAACCATCAGCAAGCATTATCTAGATAAGCTAGAAGCCTTCCCAATGAGATCAAGGGTGAAACAATGATGTACATTATCACCATTATTATTCGATATTATACTAGAAATGTTAGCTCTAGAAATAAGAGAAGAAAAAGAAATTAAGGGAATTAAAATAAGCAGTGAGGAAAGAAAACTATTACTCTTAGCAGATGATATGATGGTATACTTAGAGAATCCTAGAGAACCAACTGAAAACTATTCAAAATGATGACCAATTTTAGCAAAGTTGCAGGATATAAAATAAACCCACATAAGTCATCAGCATTTCTATATTACTAATAAGGTCCAGCAGCAAGAGATAGAAAGGGACATTCCATTTAAAATAACTGTAGACAACGCAAAATATTTGGGAGTCTACCTGCTAAGACAAACCCAGAAACTATATGAACACAATCACAAAACACTTTTCACACAATGAAAGTCAGATCTAAACAATTGGAAAAAATATCAATTGCTTGTGCATGGATTGAGCCACTACAATAAAAATGACAATTTACCTAAATTATTTGATTCAGTGCCATGTCAATCAGACTACCAAAAAATGATTTTAAAGAACTAGAAATAAATAATAACAAAATTCATCCGGAAGAGCAAAAAGTCTATAATATAAAGAAAATCAATGCAAAAAAAAATGTAAAGGAAGGCAGCCCAGCTGTACCAGATCTCAAAGTGTTTTATAAAGTGGTAATCATCAAAACAATCTGGTACTGGCTAAGAAATAGAGTGGTATATCAATGGAATAGATTAGATACATAATACACAGTAGTCAATGACCACAGTAATCTAGTGTTTGATAAATCCAAAGACTCCAACTTTTGGAACAAGAACTCACTATTTAATAAAAACTGCTGGGAAAACTAGAAAAACAATATGGCAGAAACTAGGTATAGATCAACATCTCACACCATATACCAAGATGAGGCCAAAATGGGTACATGATCTAGACATAAAGGGAGATACCATAAGCAAATTAGGTTAGCATAGAATAGTTTCCCTTTCAGATCTATGGAGAAGGGAAGAATTTATGAGCAAACAGGAGATAGAGAGCATTACGAGATGTAAAATGGATAATTTTGATTATATTAAATTAAAAAGGTTTTGCACAAACAAATGCCACCAAGATTAGAAGCAGAAAGATGAGAAATAACTTTTTTACAGCGAGGCCTCATTTCTCACATATATAGAGAACCGAGTCAAATTTATAAGAATATAAGTCATTCCACAACTGATAAATGGCCAAAGGATATGAATAGGTAGTTTTCAGGTAAGAAAATCAAAGCTATTAATAATCATATAAAAATGATCTGAAACACTATTGATTAGAGAAATACAAATTAAAACAACTCTGAGGTACCATCTCACACCTATCCGTTTGACTAATATGACAGAAAAGGAATGTGATAAATGTTGGTGGGGATGTGGGAAAACTGGGACACTAATGCATTGTTGATGGAGTCATGAACTGTTCCAAGCATTCTGGAGAGCAATTTGGAATTATGCCCAAAGGGCTATAAAAGTATGCATACTCTTTGATCCAGCAATACCACTACTAGGTCTGCATCCCAAAGAGATAAAAAAAAAAGGGGGGGGAAGGAGGACCTATTTGTAAAAATATTTATAATAGCTTTTTTGTGGTGGCCAAGAAGTGGAAATTGAGGGGATGCCCATCAAATGGGAAATGCCTGAACAAGTTGTGATATTTTTAATGGGATATTATTGCGCTATAAGAAATGAACAGGATAATTTCAGAAAAACCTGGAAAGACTTACATGAACTGATGCAAGGTAAAGTGAGCAGAACCAGGAAAATATTGTACATGGTAACAACAATATTGTATGATGATCAATTGTGAATGATTTAGCTATTATCAACAATACAATGATCCAAAATTATTCCAAAGGACTCATGATGAGAAATGCTATCCACCTTCAGAGAAAAGCTGGTAGAATCTGAATGCAGATCAAAGCATACTATTTTTTACTTTCTTTGTTTTTGTTGTTGTGATTTGTTTTTATATTTTTTGGTCTGTGTTTTCTTTCACACCATGACTAATATGGAGATGTGTTTTGCATGATTGCACATATATAACCTATTTCAAATTGCTTACGGTCTCAGGGAAGGGGAGAGAAAGGAGGGAGGGAGGGAAGGAGAGAATTTAAAGTGCAAAATTTAAAAAAAGAATGTTAAAATTGTTTTTTCATGTAATTGGGGAAAATAAGATATTATTTAAAAAATGAAAATGACTGAACAACAACAATGAATAAAGAGAAGGCTCTAAGGGCAAAGTCCAGTGGAATCATTTTTATACCACCTGTGGAGTTTCCACAGACTTTAGGTTGGGCTAGTGCTGTATCTTCAGTATCTTCTCCTTCCACTGTAATTCAAACCTAACCAGCTAAAATATGACTAGAGACTTCGTGTTTTGAAGATGGAGTTTAGTCATTTTAATAATAATAACTGCAAAATGATTTTCACGTATTTTTGTCTGATCCTCACAACAACCCTGGGAAATAGGTGCTGTTGTTATTGCCATTTAACAGATGGGGGAAATGAGGCCAACAGAGGTTAAATAACTTTCCCAGGGTCACACAACTAATGTCTTAGTGTCTGAGGCTGTATTGGGACTCAGGTCTTCCTCACTCCAGGTTTAACACTTTATCCATTGTGCCCCCTAGCCACCTAAAAAAAAGATCTACATTCACATCTGCCTTGAATTGTTAAATCAAATTAGATTAAAATACTTTGGTTTGTTTCTCAGTTAAATAAAAGAAATATAATACAACATGACACAATAATAATAGCTAACATTTATATAGTGCCTACTATGTTCCAGGCATTTTCCTAAGCCCTCTTTTTATAATTTTTATCTTATTGGATCCTCACAACCACCCGGCGAGGTAGGTCTATCATTATCTCCCATTTTACAGATGAGGAAACTGAGGCAGGCATAAGTTAAGAGACTTGCCCAAGGACACACAGCTACTAAGTGCTTGAGGCAGGAATTAAATCTGGTCTTCCTGACTCTAGACCCAGAGCTGTATCCGCTCTACCATCCATGCAATGCAATACAATTTAATAGACAACATCTAAGTTAAACTTTCAGGAGTTTGGGTTCAGATTCCTGAATGCAACAGATACTTACTGGGAGAGACAGAAATGTGTTGAAAAAATCAGCAAAGACCTCATCTTCCAGCAGCACTATAAGGTTTGTTGAAGCAATGACATCTGTATGAGGAATAAGAAACCAATAAACTAGGCTCATGGTCAATGTCTAGAAATAAGATAATAAGATGACTAACAATCTTGTCTTTGGAAGGGACCTTCAAGGTCATCTCATCCCACTCACCTCCCACCCAATGCCCGAATGACTGACGGTGGCACGTGGCCCTTCAGCCTTTGCTCAGAAACCTCCAGGGATCAAGAACTCATCCGTTCACAAGGCAGTCCTTGCCATTTTCAAACAGCTCTGCATGTTGAAAGCAAGTTCTTTCTCATACTGAGCCAAATCTTCCTCCCGGTAGCTTCTATCCGGGGATCCAGACTCCCCCTCCGGAGCCACGCTGAATCAATCAAGTCCTCTTACCTCTTGACCATCTTTCAAACATTTCAAGAAAGTTCTATCTTTACTCCCCAAGTCTTCTCTTCTTCGGGATAGGCGTCCCCAGAGTCTTCAACTGCTTCTCGTATGACAGACTCTCCAGACCCTTCACCACCTTCACCTCTGGACGTGCTGAAGGTTTGTCAATGCCCCTCTTAAACTGTGCATCAAGAAATTTCTGCGGTGCCCAGTTAGGAATTTAACTCCTCTGTTACACGTTTAAAGCTCTTTGCAACCTATCTTCAACCTGTCTTTCTACCAAGCATTGTAGTTTCAATTTTGCAGTACTTGTTTGCGTGTACACTGAAGTCAATGCGTCAAAGAGACCTGTAAATTCATTAGTCCGGCAAGCACACTAAAATCTCCATACAGTTTTTGGGTTTAGAGAGATGCAAGAGACTCAGAGCAGTCATCACATGATACGTATCAGAGGTGGGACATGAGACCAAGTCCTTTGGATTTCCAGTCAGTACTGTAGGCGTGATGCCATAGTAGACAAACAGAATAATAAAAAAGAAGAATACTATCTAACAAGAACATATTGTACTGTAATGCCTATGGTCATTATCTAGGGATATTGTATGTACCTGTGATTTCATTGATATAGGAAACTCCCAGAAGAGGAAGATCCCTCTACCAATACAGGTCAGCATCTTCTCTGCATCTGCTAAGAAAGCTGCCTAGAGGAGTGAGAAGTTACATGACTTGCTTAGGGTCACATGGCCAATGTGTGTCACAAGTGACACTTGGACCCTAATCTTCCTGGCTTAAAGGCCAGCTCTCTACTCACTATGTAATTATTTCTAACTGACATTTTCACTTGTGATTTCTTAATGAGCAGATATGAAAAGTTTAGATCTGAAACATGTATGCCTGGTACACATCAGAGACAAGACTTGAGCCAGGACTTCCTGATTCCAAGGCTGGTCCTCTAGCTACTGTGCTATAACCAGCCCCTCCCACCATGTGTTTAAATGGGATGGGAACTGGGACAGAAAACATCGCTTTGGACCTCTGAACTTCATAATGGGGTTGGGGGCAGAGAGGAGAAGGGAATGGGAGGAGCAGAAACAGCCAGGATAGCCATGGTACTGTAAACACCTGGTGAGCTGCAATCACCCCTGCCTAGAACAAAGTATGCACCTGAGAAATGCTGAATGAATGAATGAATTTCTTTGGGCAACAGTAACACCACTGCCATTAGCTGCTTACCCCTGCCTTAGAAAATATTTCTGTTCCTTCTGAGATTGTCTCCAATTCATCCTGTCTATATTTTGTTTATGCATAGTTGCTTGTATTTCATTTCCTCCTGCAGAAATTTTGCCTTTCTTTGTATCCTTGGTGCTTAGCACAGTACCTAGCCACATAGTCAGCTTGATAAAAGCTTGTTGACTTGTTGACTGACTTGATTAAGCCCTATGTGTGAGCTTGAGAGATAAGAACATGAGAACTCATTTGGAAGCTAAATAAGTAAGGGAAGTCAGAATGTTTGGACTGGGCATCAGGATGCCTTGGTTCTCCTGACTGACATGGATTTGCTGTGTGACTAAGCTTGGCAAGTAACATTTTCTCAATAGTTTTAACCTCCTTTCCCTATTAGGCTTTCTCCCTTGGCTTTTACCTGGACTAAATAATCACTAAAGTCCCTTCTAGTCCCGACATTCTATGATTTTAAAATTAAAATGTTATTTTCTAAGCACTTCCACAGACATCAGATCTTCAATGACCTTTGATTTTATTTTCTTTTTTAAGAAACCGTTTTAATTCTCTACTCATTTCCCGGAGGGTCTTCCCCTTCCAGATTGATTTTTTTTTAAACTAGGTAAAAGAGCTCGTTTTTTGCTTCATTTCTTACCTAGCCTTAATAACTGAATGGGCATTGCCTCAGACAAACTGAGACCTGGGAACAACCTTAGCTTAAAAAGGCCAAGGTCTCCCACTGCACTGGGGACCATCTCCAGTTGTTCTGATCTATATCTTGTTACTGGACCCAGATGGCTCAGGAGGAGAGAATGAGGTTGCTGACTTTGCATAGCCCTGCCTCACTTAAATCCAATTCACTTGCAACTCATGACAACACCTTCCTGACATCATTGGTCCTCTTTGAGAATGATGGAGAAACAACAACTCATTTCCAATTAATACCCTAACTGCAAATAATGAAGTTTCCAGCTCTCAGCTGAAGTTGCCCTTAGTGCCTGGCCTCAATTCACGATCTTTTTTTTTTTTTAAACAAAGATTGATTTGACCCTTCTGCCAAAAGCAGGGCAATTGAAAATTCTTTTGCCTCTTCCTAATAAAAACTTTATCCTTCAAAATGTTTAGGAACTAACAAGGGGAAATTCTATTCCAAATGTAATTATCAACAACAGGAAGGAATTTCTTAGTGGGGTAGAAATGATGGCAACCTTAGAGGGAAGTGACTTGGTCTTCCTTGGGCTTGGGGCAGAAGAGACGAAGGTCAGACAAGGTGGACTGACATGCACACTAGATTATGGAGAAGCAGATTTCACAGGATTTGGGGCTGGGATGGGGAGGACAACCTTGACAAATTCTACAGGGAAAGTGAGCCCAGGAGGAAGGGGAAGCTCAAGAATGACATTTCAAAAACTCAAAGAGAAGCAATTCTGACAAGGAAGGAAAAGGGAAGTTGTTTGAGCAGACAGATATGAACACAGAAGGAACTCAACAGCCATCTTGGTCTTTAAAAAGATAGATGCAAAGGATGGAAGCAAGGGCAGGCAGCAAAGGAAGAGCACGGAAGTGGTACAGTGTTTACTGTAAGAATACCGTGATGAATCCTAAAGCTCAGAATGAGCTGCGACCAGGAGGAAAGCCAAGTATAATAATGACATCGACAACAGCAACAAGATATTTTTAGTCATATTTGAGAAAAGAGCACGATGGAAAACAAGGGTAGCTCAGAGTGGATGGGTTGTTGGTAACTGAAAACAGACAGAATGTAGTTGTTCAGTTTTTATTTTGCTTCAGTTTTCTCTTTCAAGAGAATAACCTTCGCACTAGAAAGGGCAGGATAATTGAAGGGAATTGGTAGCCAAGATAAATAAGGAATTAGTGAGAGAACACTGAAGGAGCCTTGGTGAGTTGAAGACACCTGCCCTGCATGAACTACAATTTTGGGGACTGAAAAGAAGGATTGCTGAACCACTGTCAGAGCTATCAGGAAGGTCATGGAGAATAAAAAAGGTGCCACAGGAATGGAATGAGGTAAATATTATCCTTATTTTCAAAAATGGGAAAGAATAGAATCTGCAAACTCCAAGTCAGTGAGCTTGACTTAATTCCAGTCAAAATTCTAGAATGTATTATTTTTCAAAAAATGGTTAATGATCATCTACAAAGGAAAGGAAAGATCACAATGAGAGAGCAAGACTTGATAAAGGATTGATTATGCCAGACTAGCTTTATTCCTGGTGAAATAGATGGAGACATGTTAGCTGGAAAATAGTAAGAGTAGGTAGATTTGGAACAGGTTGAGTGTCAATGCAAAGAGTAGCCATTAATGATTAGATATCACATTGGAAGATAGTCTCTAGGAAAAGGCATCAGGTGTCTGTTCTTCACCCCATGCCACTTAACATATTTACCAATGACTTGGATAAAAACATAGATAGAATTCTAATCAAATTTGCAGCTGACAAATCTGGGGAGACAGAGACAGAGACAGGCATAGACAGAAACAGAGAAAGAAAGACAGAGAGAAAGAGAGAGAGAGAGAGAGAGAGAGAGAGAGAGAGAGAGAGAGAGAG